TGGATCTCCTCCTACTGTCAGCCTTGGTCCAAAAGAGTGAAACTTACATCCAAACATTTGACACCTATATTCCAAAGGTGTATTTTAGAAGTGCTTTATTATTGGTTCATTCAAAACATAATCAGACTATCAATTTGTTTGAGAAGGAAGAGGACCTCCTCCTTATCTATTCTGTGTCAGGCACTGTGCTGGGAACTTTGGGTTTATGATCTCATTAGTTCTCCGTATAATTTAGTGTCAGTCTTATTATCTTCATGTCCAGACAAGGAGGCTGCAGCTCTTGGAACTTAACCCACCTGTCTAGGGTTTCTCAATTATAACGTGTTTCCATGCACGGCATTGGTCCAATGGCATTTGAGTTTGGATATAATGGTTTTAGCAACAGAAAAAATTCTGGCTACTTGAAGCATGAAAGGATTTGATTACAAAACATGGTAAATCAAAAATTCATGGAAAGACTAAAGAACTAGAGTAAGGAAAGATGGAGACCAGGGAAAATTCTGGAGACCTAGATAGCAAAACTAATGGGCAGATTCATCAGAGAACCCCATTCCCTGCTGCCCACAATTCAAATTCTAGGAAAAAAGCATCTGAGTGCCCCAACTTGGGTCACCTGCTCATCCTTTGCCCAGAGTAGAGAGGACACCATGATTGACAGCTCCCACTAGCACTTTATCCATCAAAGGCCTGAAGTTGCCAGAAGAAGGGATAGTGGACCTAAATATTCAAAAACAATAGATGATCACTATACAGCATCAAACAAAACCTTTAGAGAGCAAAATCCATACCCAGTAATCATCGATAGATTTTGTGGGGTGCCAGGCACTCTGCAAGGCCTAGGGAGGTAGCAAATACAGAGAGCATTCCTGTTCTCCAGGAGCTGATGGTCCTCCTCAACTATTTGTCAAGGCTACCCCTACAGCAGAAGGGAGGCATCTGTCATCAACTGTCAATAATATGCTCACACATATCCTTGTCCATGGGGCCTAAGTGGGAGGTGACTGAGTGATGTCACCAGATTTGGACAAACAGATCAAGATCGTTTCTGAACTAGAGATATGAACTATGTCTCCTGCTCAACCAACGCTCAGTTTCCAGAGGTTTTTAGTGGCACTAAAGATTTAGGTGTGGGAGTTAAATGTTTGATGGTTTGATGGAATTTAGCTCCTTTCTTTAGGAAAAGTTTTAGGTAGACATGTGCAAATCCAGGATCTAGGATTCCTTCTGGTGCCTCACAGCATCTCAGCTTCCTTATGGTAAAGTGGTCACAGGGTCATTCCTCTTGTCCTGACCTCATGAAACAGCACAAGAATAAAGCCATATGTACAGGAAAGCATTTTGAAAAGTAAAAATAACAATAATAGTAATGCTTTTCTCATCTCTGCCTTTTAACAACAACAAAAACAAAAAAGATGCTTGTAATCTAAATCGCCTAACACCATCTCTTGTAAATGCTTGAATTCTGGAATGGGACTTTTAAAGATTATCTATGAACGAAAGTTTTTTACCTAGTTGTCATGAAAAATTAAGAGCTGGTAGTATTTGAATTGTTATAAAATTCTGTCCCCCCCCATCTTTTGCCAAAATGAGGAGTCCAGCCTGTTAGTATTGTTCATTTTGTTATTTTTTGTCATTACAAAAGCATTCCAACCACATCTACCAAAAAACTAGAAAATAGAACAAATCTACCATACCTCAACTGCCTTAATTGCCAGTATTTTGATGTATTCTTTTCCCAAGTTTGAAGTAAGTTTTTAAAACGTGGGAACTGTAGAGTAAAAACAGGTAGATTCACAGGTTCTCTCTCTCTTTTTTTTTTTTCACAAGCTAGGCATTGTTCCACGTGGTCTCATGACTTTCAATTTTAGTGAACTAAACCAACAGCGCTCTGTGGAGCCAAAGAAGAGTCTCTAAACTTGAGCGCTTTTTTGCTCTTTAATTGAGTCTTCACAGCTGACCAGAAATGAAAGTAAGGAAACAGGTGTTCAGGGCACTGCCTGGTACATCACCAGAAGCTGACTGCAGCCAGCTCTTTCCTTACCCCTGTGCTGTTCAAGTCACTACTGACAAGGAAAGTGCAGCTAACGGCCGCTCCCATCTCATCTCCTCCCCTCTGTCTTTAGACCTTGTCGCTTAACATACAAGGGAGCCTCATCTTTAACACTGAAAACCCCTCAGTCCAGGGGAAACTAAGACAGTTGGTCACCCTACCAGGGAACAAGCTGGGCCAGGGAGTGTATGCCTCGGTCATGACTGGCCGACTTGGCGGGGCTAAGATCCTGCCCTGGAACTTCTCTGTGAGGATGTGGGGAGCCAACATGTGCCCTTGGGCTCCAGGGACACCCCTACCCCACCTGGCTTCTCCTCCACAGTCACAGATCTTGGGATGAGGCTTTCCCGCTCATCTGGCCTAGAGAAACTCAACTGGGATATTCTGTAGTGGCTCATGAGAGTGAAATGACATGACATTTAGATAAAAATGAAAGCTCTGGAATTCTTATATTTTTATTCTGGCTGCCTTAAATGTCAGCTCTAAAATCGCTTCACTTGATCATTAATCGGATTCCATTTTTGTTGCATTTGACTTATGAGCCCTTTAGAAGTTAAAAATGTTTTCCTTGCTTTGCAAAAAAAGAATTTCCATTTGCCCCCCGCCCCAAAGTAGGCCTTCTACATATCACATATGCAAGATTATACAGTTCAGTTCTTCACTTCCTGATTAATCCAGAGAGTTGGTGCTCTTAGGTAGGGTGAGTCTGGAATCGCAAGGGAAGCAGTTCAGGGATGCGCCTCACTTCAATTCAGTTCAACAAACTGGTACTGTAATGCTGTACATATAAACATGCTTAGACTCTACCTTCTGGACTTTGCTATTGTCTCTGAAGGATGCAAAAAACTATCATTGATTTCAAAAGATAGTGATGATAGTTAATAAAGGTAGCTTCAAGGGACACTTATGGGAGAAGATGCAAGCTGAATATAGGGACCGTGAAGAGAATAAATAAATAGATGCGCTGTGTATTTGCTGATGAATCGGCATCTTTCCGCTGCATTCTACAAGAGGAGTTACTTTATGCTTGAATATCTATGTTGTTAATCAGTTACAATCAGGTCTCCTTAGGATGAAGCGTTTAAGCCTTGTTGGCTGGTACCGATCATGTATAATTGTTTCCATACTGTTGGCTAAGACCACCGTAAGAAGTTTTGCATAGGCGATACGTACTCAAGGTCTTTGAGGTAATTTTTTTGTCCAAACAATGCAAATATTTTATTGCTATAGTTCTTCTGAATTTTTTAAAGAGGCTTTAAATCTATCAGGATTTTCTTTTTCCCTTAGATTGCTGGTTAGGAGCACGGGGGTGGTGATGGTGGCAGAGGAACATGAAAGGAAGCAGAGTTCCTGCTGCCAGGGGCCCAGCGCTCTTTCATCTTAGCCTGAATCCTGTCCCACTGCTGCTTGAGGATTTGGAGTGTGTAAAAGTCCTGGGCTTTTTAATTATGTTTAAGCCTTTCAAGAAGCCTGCACCATGAAGGCAGACAGAAACACATGCAGTGCAACGTTTTACATCCAATTTGAGGATTCAATCATTTGGGCCAAGTCAGAGCCGCCAAATGATCAAAGGTATCACGGAGTTGGGGAAAACCTCTTTGTTGGAGGTGGAGTGGCAAAACTTCATGGTAATTAGTATCATGTTAGTTAAATACAAATATCATTAAGAAGAGAAAGTTCTTCTTATTAAAATTCTTAAATGGGGCAAATTACTCAGATTTTTACCACCTAAATTAACCCTGTTATTTTTTTCAAGCTTTTCATTCCATGTGTGTATATATATATATATATATATATGAATGTTCATACCTATGCTATACAGTCATAATTGTGATATAGCTTACACTTGACTTTCAGCGTTCATGCTTAACGTGATATGAGAAGCATTTCCCACATGGTTCAAGCAAACATTTTAAATGGCTTTGCCAGATCCCACAGAATTCCTGTCCCTCTGTGTATCTCACTACTCACCAAGGACAGGACCGTGAGGTTGTCTGTGAGCGTTCAATGAATATGTTACTCAATGCATATGTTATATAATTTTTTTTCTTTAGGTCTGTGGTCATAGAATGCATTCCACCCATGGGATTCCTAGGACAAAGAGCCTCAATACTTCTAAGTCTTTGGGCAAAGAATTGAAATTGAACACTGCTTTCCTGAAGAGTAGAACCCTTGTACACTCTGCTCAGCCGTTTCACAACTTTATCAGCGCTGGATTCTTTGTCAAAGCAAATTGAAAATTGTTTGGGGAGGGAAGAGTTGCCTCCGCTTTGTTTCTCCTATGATAACCATCAGTTTGACTTTTACATAAATTGTATTCTAGGAAGAAAGGACATTCCTCACTGTTGACAAGCCACTGTCATGTGAAAGAAAAGGAAATCTTGGAAGCGGCGTGGCAGAAATAGTTACCTCCAATAAGTAACACATTTGAGGCACCTGCATCTCTTTGCTGCCTGCCAAAACTTACAGTCACCACTGAGATCAATGTAGGAGAGGGGAGCAATATGCATTAGCAATGCCTGAGAGAATACCCAGCTTGCCAGCTTCTGCAGAGCCTGAAGTTGAAGTTAGAGAAATGCAGGTTTCATGAAAATCCTAGGGTGTAATACTCCCCACTTCCACCAAACCGTAACCATGGTCCTCCATCTTGACATAACCATACATCTAAGTAAAGCCTATCTAGGTATCACCGGGTGATATAGCACAAATATTTTTGCAATCAGAAGAGGCCCTTATGCCGATTACTATGAAGAACACAATGGTGGGGCCAGGCTCGTGTCTGTTTCAGATTGTTGGTGTGTACGGCTAACTGGAGGCAAAAGGCCCCTCGGATCGGCGGGGCGGGCCACTTGGAGCACCGTATCAGAGAAGCTCGTGGGACTTTTGGCTCGCTGTCCACTAGCTTTACCTTCTTGCTCCTGCTTTTGCTGATGGCTTGATGTCATTTCAGGTGCTGATCTACAATGGCCAACTGGACATCATCGTGGCAGCCCCCCTGACAGAACGTTCCCTGATGACCATAGACTGGAAAGGAGCCAAGGAATACGAGAAGGTGGAAAAAAAAGTTTGGAAGATCTTTAAATCTGATAATGAAGTGGCCGGTTATGTGAGGCAAGTGGGTGACTTCCATCAGGTAGGAAAATCCTCAGGGGCATGCAGGGTGTGGGTAACGGGGTTTAAGATAAAGCCCGACTGCCAATAAGCCACGGCCAGCCTTACGCAAAGTCGTACGACTGCCCTACTATCCACAGAGAAGAGAGGTCGGAGTTCATAGTCAAGTCAACAGGTCTTACTGTAAAACAAGACAAAAGCTTAGGCCTTGTTCAAGAGATAAGGAGACAATAAAGTAGAAAACACTCAGCCCAAACAGACACAAACAGGCTCGTCACTGACAAGAGAATTGCAGTCAGTTCAGGAACAATGGGAAGCTGGACAAGTTACAGGAGGAAGGTCACCATAATCTCTGGCAAATCTGTGATCACACTTAAAATTACACACGGAGCCCCAGGACAAAACCTTAACTCCTGCAATGTTCCAGTCTTGTAATATCTTTTACAAGTTTTGAAATCAGGATTATGTTGGCCTCATGAAATGACTTGGAAGTACTGGCTGAAATAGTGTCTTTGTTCAGAGAATTCATTGATGAAGCCGTCCAGGTCTGGAGGTTTCTTTGAAGGAAGGGGATTTTTTGTAAATTTTTTTTATCACTACATAATAATGGTATATCTGTATACGGTACGTGTGATATTTTGACGCATGCTCGCAATGTGGATGATCAAATCAAGATAGTTGGGATGTCTACCACCTAACACATTTATCGTGTCTCTGTGTTGGGAATACTTCAAATCTCTTCTAGTTACTTTGAGATATACGATATATTATGGTTAACATAGTCACCCTCCTGCGCTATTGAACCCTGGAACTTACTGCTTCTCACTGTATCTTTGTACCCATTAATCAGCTTCTCTTCCTCTCACCCCCTTCCCTTCCCTGCATCTGGTAGCAACATTCCCAGCTCCATGAGATCAACTTTTTAGCTCCAGCAGGTGACATGTGTTTTTGTGCCTGGCTTACTTCACTTAACAGAATGACCTCCAGTTCTATACATGTTGCTGCAAATGACAGAATTCTGTTCTTTTTCTGGTGAAATAACATTCCATTATGTTTGTATACTACATTTTCTTTATCCATTCATACACTGCTGGACACTTAAGTTTATTCCATGTCAGAGCTATTGTGACTAGTGCTGCAATAAACACGAGGGGACCAGTATCCCTTTGATACACCCATTTCCCTTCTTTTGGATAAATACCCAGTAGAGAGATGGCTGGAGCATCTGCTAGTGCAATTTTCAGTTTTTGAGAAACCTCCATACTGTTTTCCATAATGGCTATCCTAATTCACATTACTACAAACAGTCTATAAAAGTGCCTTTTTCTCTGCGTTATCACCAGTATCTATTATGTTTGGTCTTTTTGACAATAGCCATTCAAACCGGGGTGAGATAATTATCTCATTGTGGTTTGGGTTTGCATTTTCCTAGTGATTCGTGATGTTGAACTTTTTTTTTTCATATACCTGTTGGCCATTATGTGTCATCTTTTGAGAAAAGTTGATTCAGGTACTTCTCCTGCTTTCTAATGGAATTATTTTGGGTTTTTGTTTGTTTCCTGCTTAGTTGTTGAGTTCCTTGCATGTTCTGGATATTAGTCCCTTCAAATGAATAGTTTGAATATATTTCCTCCTATTCTGTGGGTTATCTCTTTACTCTATTGATTGTTTCCTTTGCCATGCAGAAGCTTTTTAGTTTAATATAGTCCCATTTGTCTTTTTTTTTATATTGTAGCCTGTGCTTTTAGGCTCTTAGCCATAGCATCCTTCCCCAGATCAATGTGCCAAAGCATTGCCCCTGCGTTTTCCTCTAGTAGTTTTATCATGTGGGGTCTTAGTTTAAGCCTTAATCCATTTTGAGTTGATTTTTATTTATAGTGAGAGATAGAAGACTAGTCTTATTCTTCTGCATATAGATTTTCAGTTTTCCCGGCATCATGCATTGAAGAGGTGGCCTTTCCTCAATGCATGTTCTTGGCACTTTTGTTGAGTATCAGTTGATTGTAAACACACAGATTCATATCTGAGTTTTCTATTCTGTTACACAGTCCCTGCGTGTCTGTTTTTATACCAATATCATGCTCTTTGGGGTCGTATCACTTTGTAGTATATTTTGAAGTTGGGCAGTGTGATGCCCTCCATTGTGGATGTGGACATCCCCAGCTATCATTATGTTTTATTATTATTATATATCTCTTCCTTTAGATGTAATAAAATTTGCTTTATATATCTGGGTGCTCTGGTGTTGGGTGCATATAATATGTTGAAAACTGTTATATCCTCTTTTTGAAATTATTCTTTTATTATTAAATAATGATCTTCTTTGTCTCTTTTTGGCAGTTTTTGACTTGGAGTTTGTTTTATCTGATATACATCAAGGGACTCCTGCTCATTTCTGGTTTCTATTCATGTGGAATATCTTTTTTTATCTCTTTACTTTTGTCTGTGTGTCTTTATAGGTGAGGGGACATAGGTAGCATACAGTTGCCTCATGTTTTCATACCCATTCAGCCAGTCTGTATCTTTCTTGCCCGGGAAAGGCTTTATTTCTTCTTTGTTTTTGAAGGACAGCTTTGCTTGGCTGGCAGGTTTTTTCTTTCCTCACTTGGAATATTACATCACATTCTCTAATGGCCCACATGATTTCTGCTGAGGAAGCCACAGTTCCCTTATATATAACTTGATGCTTTTTTCTTGCTGTTTTTAGAATTTTCTCTTTGTCTTTAATTTTTGAACATTTGACAGTCATGCGTCTTAAAGAAGACCTTTTAGGATTGAATTTATCTGAGGATTTTTGAGCTTCCTTTTCTGGATGTCTATATCTCTTACAAGATGTGGGAAGTTTTCAATCACTATTTTGCTAAGTACATTTTCTATGCCTTTACTCTTCTCTTTTCCTTCTGTTAACCCCCAAATTTGAATATTTAGTTAATTTATGGTGTCCCATATATCACATAGCCTTTCTTCCTTCTTTTTACTCCTTTTTTTTTTGACTTGGTTATTTTCAAAGTCGTGTCTTCAAGTTCAGAAATTCTTTCTTGGGCTTGATGTAGTCTATTGTTGAAGTCCTTGATGGTATATTTTGTTTTATTTATTGACTTCCTAGTTAGAGGATTTTTGTTTGGTTCCTTTTTATATCTGTCTGTGTTGAATTTCTCATTCAGATCAGGAATTACTGTTCTATTTTCTTTGTATTGTTTATCTGAATTTTCTCATATTTCATCAAAAGCTTTCATATCATTATTTTGAATTTCTTTTCAGGCATTTCATAGATTTGTTTTTCATTGGATTCTACTTCTGGAGAATTGGGTATTCCGTTGGATGTGTTAGGTTTCCTTGCTTTTGTTTATTTATTTTTTTAAGACAGTCTCATTTTGTCACCATTGGTAGAGAGCTATAGTGTCATAACTCACAGCAACCTCAAACTCTGGGGCTCAAGTGACCCCCTTGCCTCAGCCTTCCAAGTCCGGGACTATAGGGACTATAGGTGCTCGCTGCAACACCTGGCTGTGTTTCGAGATGGGGTCTTACTCTGGTTCAGGCAAATCTTGAACTTACGAGCTCAGGCAATCCATCTGCCTCGGCCTCCCAGAGTGGTAGGAGTACAGGTGGAAGCCACTGCACCCAGCCTGTTTCCTTGCTTTTTCATCATTTTTGTGTCTTTACATTGGTATCTGTGCATCTGGTGTAATAGTTGCTTCCTCCAATCTTTAGATTTGCTTTCATAGGGAAAGGCTTCTTCCTATAGATGTATCTATAGTGTTGGTTGGGTAGGGTGCTTTGGTTTTGATTCCGAATAGGCACCATAGTGTATAGTTTGTGTGATTTCTTTGGCTATCATCAATATCAGTGATATCTATGAGCTCCTTAGTGGCTAGGCTGCATTTGTTGGTGGAGGTTGTGGGAAGGCTTTGCCGGGAATGGGACTGCCAGACAGGCTGGACCTCTGGCACCAGGGATTATGGCAGCAGGCCTGGTGTGCTAGTCATTGGGACTTTATGTGGCACACATGAAGACTGTTGGTAGTGGGTCTGGATGGGCTGCTCCTTGGGTCTCCAGGCAGCTTGCTTGAGTGTTGGCAATGGCATTCATGGACCAGGCTGGCAAGTGGGTCATTGGGTTCCTGGGCAGTGTGTATGGTCTTGATGATGGCAACATCAGTGACAGGCTAACCTTTGGTGCTCCAGGTAGCACATGTAGGCACTAGCAGTGGTGGCCAGTCACTAAGCTCTCAGGTAGCACATGCAATTGGGGGTTCTCGCAGAGGTGGTGGTGGCAGGCTGGTCATACCTATCCTCAGGTCCCCAGGAGGTGTTGAAGAGTGCTGGTGGTGGCAGGTGGGACAGATCAATCCTTAGGCCTCTAGACAATGTTTATGGACACTGTCAGGCTGGGTTTCCATATTCTCAGACTCCTAGAAGGTGTACGTGGGCACTGACTTTGGCAGGCAGGGCAGTCCTACTTGCTCAGGGGCACTAGTAGAAGTAGAACTATGAGGGACGGAACTGTCCTTAGGTCTCTTGGTGGGGTGTGTAGATGCAGGCAGCAACAAGCAGGACTGGCCAATCCCTAGACCCCCAAATCATGCATACAGGCATTGGCTGGGACAGCACCAGCTAAGATGGGTCAGGCCTCCAGATGGGACACTAGTACACCAGTAATGGTAGCAGTAATCAAGCAAGCCAATCCTTAGGCCTCTGATGGTGCATGTGGGTACCAGTGGTGGTGGGCAAAGGGGTTGTTTCTCTGTTTCCCACAAAATGCATTCAGGTACTGGTGGTGATGGCAAGTGGGCAGGCCTATCTTCAGACCTCTCAGTGGTACATGTGAGCATTAGTTTTGGTGAGTGGACTAGATCAGTCCTCAGGCCTTCAGCTAGTACTTAGGCCACAGTGACAGGCTTTGCATTTGGCTGGAAAGGGGGAAAATTCTACTTTATAGTAGGATTTTAAAAGTCTAGAATTTATATTGTACTTTCTAGTATGATCACCACACAAAAGAGCAAAAGAATGTACTGAACTT